TACCCACGAGGTTACAAAGAGAAAATTCAATGATTATTATTAACGTAACCTTCAGGTATGTTCTACCCACGAGGTTACAGAGAGCAAATGCAGTGATTATTATTAAATGTAACCGTCAGGTATATTCTACCCACGAGGTTACAAAGGGAAAACGCAATGATTATTATTAACGTAACCTTCAGGTATGTTCTACCCACGAGGTTACAGAGAGCAAATGCAGTGATTATTATTAAATGTAACCGTCAGGTATATTCTACCCACGAGGTTACGGAGAGCAAATGCAGTGATATTATTAATGTAACCATCAGGTATGTTCTTTTAATACCCACGAGGTTACAAAGAGAAAGAGCAATGATTATTATCAACGTAACCTTCAGGTATGTTCTACCCACGAGGTTACAGAGAGCAAAAGCAGTGATTATTATTTTAAATGTAACCATCAGGTATGTTCTACCCACGAGGTTACAAAGAGAAAATGCAATGATTATTATTAACGTAACCTTCAGGTATGTTCTACCCACGAGGTTACAGAGAGCATGCAAATGCAGGAACAATTATTAGATTTTAGTACAACTATCAGGTTGAGTTCCTCCATTAAAAGAGTTTTTTGCTAGGGTTAAACAAGTTTGGCTTTCATGAGTTTCAAGGTGCAAGAAATTATCAGTATAATTATAGCACACAAACATTGTCATCTAATTTTTCGCACGTATCCGGAATAAGCCAAGAAAGGAAGCATATATAACGAAAAATCGTCCTCAGATGATCTCCATATTAAGTAAATGATACTAAACGTTGCGAAAGAAATTATTGATTGTATCCGTCCTATCCATCGTAAAAGCAAGGGGTCATCGCATGACATCCGGTATAAAAACAGAGATAATACTCACGGGTTTCACGAGTTGTATGCACTATTTTTCGCCGAGAAACAAATTTAAACTTCAATTCTTACCTTACAGTAGTCCGTTCTTTTACCTTGCATTCGACAACAAATCTGTTAAAGGCGAACAAAGCGATTCCGGCACTCTTCTTTATGATGATTAGCAAGCCGCAGGAACTGAAGCCGCTTGACTGAAGTAAAATCGACCGATATGCGCGGCATTCTCACTACAAATATAAACAAATGTCGTGGGAAAAAAAGGTGAGGAGGAAAAAAATGCCAGATCTTAGCCTCGGCAATGTATTCCAGCTGACCATGCCGGCGTATCTCCAGAAGGTGGACTCGACGTGGGACAAACCTTGTGATCTTTTTTGAAAGCCCTTTTTTGCGCAAAAACTAATTTATTCTGGCGCGAAATGAAGAATATGTATACTGAAATCTAATCCACGACAAGAAAATTTTCGCACTGTAGCGCGACATATTAAATGCCTATTTTTACAAGTGCGCGGAGAAAGTGGTCCACTAGTTTAACTTTTTTTTTAAGATGAATTTACTCCACAAAAGCAAAATGAAATGTTTTATCTCTATGTTGTTTACGTGCCTGATTAGAAGGCAGAAGTAAATTCATCATACAGACCCCATCAAAATGAAAGTACACGAATGAAACGGAGTAAGTCTGGGACGGTTTAGTTTCTACTCAGCAGCTTCTTTGCTTTTATAACAAAAATTTAATGTTGCAGTCTGTTTTAAACGTTGGCATATCAACGCGCACAGTCACTGAATGAAAACAACAGTCACGATCACGTTCTTGAAACCGACCAGACGCGCGCGACCTACCACTGTTATGGTAAGCAATTATCCTGAAGGTGTTAATGTTCCCGTGACAGTCTTCGCACTGAAGGTGTAAATGGTAAACCGAACGGTCGCTTTGATCATCAGAAAGAGCTGTCAATTTTGATGATTTAACTGATTAAATTACGGGACAGAAATTTTACTGCTTGCGGCTCCTCGTGACAGGGGAGGAGTATCGGAAAGGCAGATTAGGACTACAAGAAGTATTCTTCACTCCATTCTTAACGATTACCAGGGAAGACTCGACACGTCCTCACTGCGCACCTTCTTGTATGAACTCATGGCTATAATCAGCAGCCGACCTTTGACCTATCAATGCCTGAACGATCCAAAGAGTTTGGAGCCTCTAACGCCAAATCATCTACTCACCATAAAAAACAAGACACTTCTTCCACCACCAGGAAATTTTGTCGAGGAAGAAATCTATGCCCAGAAACGATGGCGAAAGGTCCAGTTTCTGGCAGAACAATTTTGGAGTAGGTGGCGAAAGGAGTACCTCATCAATCTGAATTCAAGCCAAAAAGGGTTTCAGCCAAAGAGAAATCTGAAAATCGGTGACATTGTAATCGTTCAGGAAGAAGTTTCACGGAACGAGTGGCCCCTTGGCAAGATCACGGATACTTCAACAGATCAACAAGATCTCGTTCGTTCTGTGAAGATAAAGCTTGGATCCAGAAATCCTAAGAAGAAGGGAAACGACACAAATTCTCATATCATCGAAAGACCAGTGCAAAAGTAGTCCTCCTGTTGCAAGGCGTGGTCTAAGACAAGTTCCAGTAGCAATGCTTGATGTGCACAGTAAAATTATTCATGATTGTTACGTCCCTTTTGAATCATAAATAATTTGGTGGGAGTGTAGCTACGGCAATTAGCTGCACGTTTAATTAACTTAGTTTTTATCCGAAATCTTTGTTTTCTGCACGCGCACGCTAACGCAATTTGTAGATTTATCTAGAAAGTTCTTTCTAACGCAAGCTAGGACGCACGCAAAAGCGACACGCAATTTTGTTGTTTAAAGGTTAAGTTTTTTGTTGTTGTGGTTAGTTGACGCAAGTTCTTTGTCAATTCATGTCAAGAAACCAAGAAGTTTTTCTTGTTCTAGTGATTTTAAGGACATCACCAAGGTAAATATTTACATTACATTTCCCTATTGAAGTAAGCGCCTTGTAATTTTATCCTTTAATCCGATTTTATCGCTGATTGCATTGTGAAATCAAGATTTTAGATTTTAGACGAAGTGAAGCTTACACAGGACATCATTTACCGTTATTTGTCAATCTTAAGTTTTTACCTTTCTATCTTGTTAGTTTTAACGGATGAAATGTATGTATTTCCGAAATTTCACAACCTTATTTGTAAAATACTCTTACCTTTGTTTTAGTTCTCACGGTGTTTATGGAAGTAAGGTTAAGAAAGGAAATAAACATCAGTACATGAACGAGTGTCATCTCATATCTCATCACTGGAACAATAATAAGTGTCGAATAAAGAGTCCCAGTTAGCTGTTTTTCTTACATCCTCAGAGGGCATGTCACGCGGGAGGTTATATATAACTTTAGCAGCCCTACAATGTATGGATTCCAAAGAATTAAATTCATTTTTATTTGTACAACAACCCCAAATAGGTAACGCATATGTAACCAAGGGTGAAATGACTTTAGAATATAGATATCAAAGCGAATTCCTGGGTAAAAAGCGGCTGCGTTTGATTAGATTGAGCTTGTTAACAAACCCTCTCCTGAGCTCTGATATGTGTTTTGTCCACGTAAGCTTGTTGTCAATGGTTACACCTAAGAGCTTAGAACTTGAGGACCATTTTACGAGATGCTGATTAATTTTTAAACTGCCTAAGGGACCGGGGTGTGGTACCAGAAAGTTATGTTTGCCCTAGAGGGCAAGTTCTTCTAGAACTTTGTTGAGCGTTGTTGTGACCTGGTCTACGGATTCACCAACACAGTACATGGTAGTATCGTCAGCATACAGGAACGTCATTGCAGTGTTAACTGCTTTCGGTAGATCACTTGTGTACAAGGCGGAGAGTATGGGCCCGAGTACGGAGCCCTGTGGTATACCGTGTGCAACTTTGGTATTCTCAGAGGGTACGCTATTAATTACAGTATAC